GTGAGAGTTGTCGGTTGACTTGATAACCGAGTGTGTAGAGTTTTCGGTTAGCTAGAAAACCGAGTGTGTAGAGAAGTTTCGGCTTCCAAACTAGGTTGTGTAGTGGATTCTCCTCAAGAGTGGGGAGCGAGGACGTAGGACGGAAGGTCCGAACCTCGTGAACATATAACGTGTTTGGTTTGCATTGGCGCTCTTATGACTGTTCATCTTATAGCCTATTGCATCTTATTTACACTGTCCACTAGTTTGTTTCACCCTTGTGATAGTTTAAATATATCGTTGTATATACCATATAGTATATCTCATTGCTAGGATATATCACCTTAGTTATATTGCTTATTCTTGCTCATATCATATTGTATATCTATCTTGCAAGAATAATTTGTTAATAAGTTTTGCTTATTCTTGCTCATATCATATTGTATATCTATCTTGCAAGAATAATTTGTTAATAAGTTTTAAATTGACATTAAATCGGATTAGATTAGCATAAACCATATTCACCCCCCCTCTAGGGTTCTTTCATAGAGACCTTAGGGTCTTACACGTGTAGCCTTGGGCCAACACCGGTCCACGCGTTGTGACGAAAGTCAACATCGGTCAACGCGTTGCAATGAAAGTCAACACCCGTCAAAGCGTAGCCAACGGTCAACACCGGTCAACGCGTGACGAAGAAGATCAACACGAGTCTACACCATTCGACACGAGTCGATACCATTCAACGTGTGATGATGAAAGTCAACGATGGTCAATGCGAGTCAAACACCGTTCAACGCAAATTGACGCTGGCCAACGCATCGATAGCTTCACCAAAACAAGGCTCATGATTATGCTCAATTACGATGTGAATCCTCGATGAAGACGATCAGTCCAATGTCAATTCAACAATACGAGCTAATTCAGATATCAACACGCCAGTCTAAGTTCGAGATTTAGACGACGATCAGACAATAAACGCAGCACCGGAAGAATTTTAGCTATTCAACAAAATATTGAATAGACTAAAAGCTGAAGAAGTCAAAGAACTGAAGGCTAAGTGTATCATATCCAAAGTATTCTAGGCTCCTCTATAAAAGAATGAGACTGAAACACTTTGGAGGGGGTATCTGTAGGCGTTAAAAATTGCCTATAGTTCCCAAACATAGCTCGAGATGACGAGCCGTCGAAACAACAAAGCGGTGAATCGCTAATGACATAGCAACAAGCCTGCATGCTCATCAGCCAGCTCCAAGTAGCCTGCATGATTGTTAGCCACCTCCGAGCTAACGAAACGCATAAAGCGAATCGGTGAAGCGGACAGGTCAACAAAACAACGAAATGCACGTAACGGCGAAACAAGTCCAATCCGAATGAACTGAAAAAGCTCCTGGCGGCCGAGTCGCATCAAAATGACTCGGCCAAAGCCAGTGGCTCGGCCCAGGGCCGAGCCACCAAATGGTGGCTCGTACAGTGCCGAGCCACTGTGAGGTGGCTTGCGCCCAGAAACGCCGAAACGCATTTTTCGGTAGTTTTTTGGGATTCTTTCATTCCAGAACCTCCCTAACTACTTTGAAGCTATCCCAAAATATGGTTAAATGGTTATTAACTGTGGATGAGGTTAGATCATCAACTCTTACTAGAAAACGCTGCAACAAAAGTCTATAAATACAAGCCTAAGGCATTCATTTAAAATGATCTGAAATCAGAGGGTGAGGTGCTGTCAAATTGAAGAGTGGAGCACGAATTTCAGAGGAGGGCTAGCAGATCTTGGCGAACTTCAGCATAAAGAGGAACTATTCGAAGGATCTGAGGCCCGTTCTCTCTTTCCTCCGGATCAAACTTGGTTTTGATCTCGAGAAGAATCATAATGTCGCTTGGTCAAGATTATCATTTCTACGATGGTTTTCTTTGTGAAGCAAGAGCATTAATTAATTTTTCTGTCAACAAAATTTGATCCGTGACGGTCCACGGACTAATGCGTCCCTGGTACAGGAGAAGATCATACACTAAATAGGATCCATGTGTTGTTTGATAAAGTTGTAATCTTTTATTTTTTTATTGTTTAAGAAGATCTTATAAAAAGATCAACTTTTCTATTTTTTGAACTGTAATCAATAAACGATTGTAACAGGTTCTATGACAATGAAAAAGCTAACTTTTGAACCAAACAGTTACCTGTAAGTTAAAGATAAAATTTATTCTTTCAAATCATAATGATTCAGCTCCACTCATGTTTAAAGATACAAGTTACTTTGTCATCGAGCCTTCCTCCGTGAATCAAGTAAAAGAGTTCCTTCCTTGTAATCGTGCTATTTTAGGTTACGATGACATCGAATTTCCTAAAAATCATTAAAATATGGTTAGACAAAAGGTTAACAACTAAATGATCCAAGGTAACTTCTAAAAGCTAAAACATAACATTGATAACTTTTTTCGGAGAAGGTTGCATATAATGCTTCTTTATTAGGAATGGTGGAATCCCCTTTATTCTGATCGTCAATGAATCATCTTCCTCATATTTGGCCTTCTGAGTGGATATTTTTCAACCCACGAGCTAACTTCAGCTATAGGTTTCTGTACTATAGCAATGCTTGCTTTTCTAGCTTTTGCAACAATTGTTTCCTTTCAGAGAGATCTAGACTTCTCTCCAATTATCACCCAATTAGTCAGTGGTGGCTTGAATCTATTGCTTAGGGTATATTTTTTAATCCCTGTCATTTCGTAGTATCATAGCTGCAAATAAATTGGTCCAATTAACCAGTTAACATGCACTAATTATCTGTTTAACATGAAACAAGAAAATATAGTTGACAAAAATAAACTGAAATGCGATATTCATCAAATATAATTAACATCAACCTTACAAACCTTAACACTAACCTCAATATAGTTAACATGAATCAATTAACCTTAATTACCTTTAACTTTAGTTGACAGAATATACATAACGTTCACATGCACAAGTTAACCATAAAAATAAAAAAGCTAATATAACTTATAGGGATCAGAGGCATGCATCCAGGTATATATGAAATTCGTAATTTGTTCAGACCTTCCCTAGCAATCTTAATGCCTTTCTTTGCCTGGTCATAACTGAATTTACCCTAGGCCACATTCTTCACTCTTTCAATGCAATCAACTTATTTGAACAAGAGCCTAAGGATGCCTTGCACACTGCTGGGTCACCAAATCATCGAACATTGATAAAGAATCTGCAGCAACACAAAATCCTCAATATCCTTCTTCTTTTATGATTCAACAAGAGATTCTAGTAGCCCTTCCATATATCTTTGCATAATCTTTGGTGATTCTTTTTCATTCCTAGTAAACTGCTCAGCAAACTACTCTATCCAAATCCTAGCGTGAGTATCTCTATTGCTGTAAATTAATTCTCCGTCAATTGGGAAACCGGTGTGATCATGAACCCAGTCTAAATCAAAATTAACTATCTTTTCTCTCCCGATGTCGGCATCGGGCAGAGCAAATGTCACTTCACCTCCTACATAGTGACTCAAAATAAGTTTAAGCGTGGATCGATCTACTGCTGGGGGACCATATATTACACAATGCTCAAGTGTGCACCCCTGGTATGCATCCCAATGCCACCGCTTCATTCTCGGTTCAAGTACTTTCATAAGATCATAATATGCGCCAAAACTAGCGGTAGGTCTAATTTCTGCACCATTAACAAACTTTTTCCTGTAATAAAATTTAATATTTAACATCAATCTATCTAAACTTAACATCCAATAACTAATAGTAACAACTAACAATGAAATGTAACAATTATGCTATGCCCCTTAACAACCATTCACTAGACTTGTTATCGATCAATAAAACTTGATGCATAATGTGTAAAGTCAGGTATCAGTACCAATATCATCAACCAAACTCCAGAGCTAGCAGTTTATAAGAAACGTTAGCAGATTATAACGAAATGTAACAACCAACATTCATCTGTAACATTAATATGTTATATTTCACAGATCCAGACATATAGTTCGCAATGCACCAACATTAATCTATAACATCAATCTATCTAAATTTAACGTAAACTTACTTCTTTCTGGATTTCTCCAATTCCTATTTTGAACTTGGAATTTACATTTTCTTGGTAACCTCTTTTGCATGCCCAACAGGGTCCGGGTGGCTTCATAGGTGCTGTCATTCTTTGATGATGACGCATAGGTGGGCAAGACTTGGAGGGGGAGAGGGATGAGAGAGCAAAGGGCCCATGGTCGGTCTTAGACGCCAGGAGTAAAACTCTTCGGCGGCAAGGGGGGATGTTTAACATTCTTGGAAGGCGAGGGGGATCTTTACCAGTCGACGACGGCGAGAGAGGTCTTTAACGGTGGTCGAATGAGAGTCTTGTCGCTCAACGTCCATCGCCACAGGTTCCTGCTCTTGCAACGGCGGAGGAGGAAGGTGAACAACTTCGAATTCATCGTCTTTTGTTTCAGATTTTGGGGAATCTGGGTTCGCCGTTGAGATTTCGGCTATTTTTCTGTTGAATTTGAGAAAACCCTAAAGTGGAGATTGAGTGGAGATTTGGGGATTTCGCCGGCTACTATTAACGAGAGAGAGAGAGAGAGAGAGAGAGAGAGAGAGAGAGAGAGAGAGAGAGAGAGAGAGAGAGGCGGGCGCGGTTACCAAAATTATGGGTACTATAGCGGTAACCAGTTGGGGGGTAGAATAAGGTTTTAAAAAAATTTCTCTCAAGTGACTCAGTTGGCGGGGCTGAAATGAAATTTTTTTTTCTTAGTATTTTCGGCTTATACACATGGGCAAAAGTACAGAGGCTATGACACTTGACTTTTTAGATTTGGGACATAGAAGCAATTTTTCCTAGAAAATAAGGTCCCATAAAAGGTGTAAAGTTGGCACATGCATTAGACGTGACTACACCCATAAATACTTCGCGGCGCCTGACTTTCTCTTGATGGCCAGCTTATTATGTGATGATCCGCTCATTATACAATAGAAATAATGATCACTGCAACTTACATGTCCCCTATTGGGCTTATATTTCGGGAGCTTGGCGAATTTTTCCTTTCTCTCTCCCACTAATCAAACCAAATGCTGTGGCACTTCCCTCCGACCCCAAAGCAGCTGTGCGCCACCGCCGGCTTCTTCATCGCCGGCGTCTCCCTCATCGCCGTCGGGGCCCACCTCTCCTACGTCCACGTGGCACCTCAGCAGGCCCGTGCACAAGCCCGGAGGGAATTCCTCCGCGAATACTTTCGCAAAAAATTCGGCGAGTAGTTCCCCCACATAAACCCTAAAAGGTCCCTCATTTGCTCTCTTGGACTTCATAGGGTTATGTTTCTCTTGTTAATTTTCTTGAAAATCTGTGTTGATGTTGATGACGATTGATTTAGGGAGTGAAATCGTTTTTCATTTGGTTGCACTTGATGTCGGATTATCAAATTATGGGCTTTGATTTATATGCAAAAGCTTTGCTATAGTTAAGTTGGAGAAATGGCTTATTTTTTTGCTTGTCAATGCAATGTTCGAGGTATGAAAGGGGAAACCATTTGAAGCAAATAAGCCCTACGTTTAATAAAATTATTCTTGTAATTAAAATTGATATTATGTTTACCCTTAAAGGTTTGAAGCATAATCACTTTATTGAACCTTTGTAATATTGATTGTCAAAGTGTCTAGCTCTATCAGCCTATAATCCCAGAGTGGTCTTTTTCAGATTTTTGGAGGTTTTTTTAATCGAACATGCGTAGTGTATCGGATATGAATATTGATTTGGAATACCACTTGCCCTGCATGGAGTTCACTTCTAGTGTTAGGATAATTGTCAATTTGTAGCTGTAACATGTGAGATAAGATGCACAAGTGCTCACAAATGTTGCGGAACCAAGGGAATTAAAAGTTTATTACTCTATTTTATGATGGATAGTTAAGTCCAAGTGCTGATTATTTGATTTTATGTTAGGAATAATCGATTTCATTGTAGGATCTGTTTTGGATGAATTAAGTAAACAGGCCTTGTTGTAGTTTAGTGAGATCTTTGAGTTATGTTACCTGCTCATGATCACTTCAGTAGAAAAATTATCGGGGGCGAGCTAGAATCTCACGTCATTTGCTTTTTGGCACAACCTTGACGTGAAATTTAGTTACGGATACTACTAGTACATGTTGATGGACTTATTGGAAGATGACTTGGTACTAACATATATTTGGTGATGATATAGAATGGAATCTTTCATTGCGGATTAGCTTAGTTTTATGGTGCATTGGCTTAGTTTTATCTTTTATGGTGGATTAGCTTAGTTTTATGCTGGATTAGCTTAGTAACTGGGATTTTAAACTGCTCCATTTATATGGATTAGCTTAGTTTTGTGGTGGATTGGGTTCTGCTCGCTAATGGACATTGAATGATCACATGGCCCTATAGATCACATTTGGCATGGCTACTAACAGTATTTCTATTGTAGGTCTGTGAAGGATATATGAAGAGAATATGGTTACTTTATTTAATACCTACAACTTTTTTCTGATAGATTTGGGAAATTCCATGTATATTTATCTTACCGAATTTGCATGGAAAATGCAGATGAGTAGGTGGTACTTTACAAAGAGATGTTAACTGATATAGAGTGGCATGCTTGCCTCAAAATGCCACCATTATGCCTTGTCATTACTTGGCTAAACTCGTGTATGATGGGTCTCAAGAAAGGTTTTTCACTGTCAAATAGTGATATTTTTCTGACCTATGTACTTGGTGAAGCCAAGTACTTGACTCATTGGCTGGCCAAGGGTGAAGTTCAAGTATGAGGTCCTTGTTACCAACTTTGCATACTTGATTTAGATAGCTAGATCATTGTATTGCTATCACAGTGGTCTAAATATCTTATGGCAATGAAGCTTTCTACTTCCTAATTATTCTCTAATTGAAAAAAGCCTTGCCCATTTTTCCCCTCTGATTATGAATCTTCCTAATTATTATTTTCGATCAATACTTTATTAGTCAGGTGCCATGGTAAATGTACTCTATCCTTATACATTGATAGCATTAACAAGTACCTACCAGTTATATGCATGCTTTGTGTCATATCATGTCAATCTGGTAATTATTGAAAACAGATGCATGTTTCTATCTATGAATATTTCTGTTGCACTTGTGCCTTTGTAACTGTTGTATAGGTCAAAATTTCCACCTTTAGAAATCAAATCTGATCCCGCAAAGCTAGCACTACACAGCAATGAAAAGATAATTTTGTGATAAATTCTCTTGTTCTGACTCAGGAAAGAAATCCATTTTCTTGTATGATAATTTTGCAAAACATGAAAACTGGGTGAACTTCCTTGCCCTATGAGGCCTTGTTCTGTGTTGTGGTTGTTTATCAGACACACACTTTTAATTATTTTAGTCTATTTAATATATTCCTAAGTTCACACTTTCTTACAAAGTTTGTAGTCTAGTTTTAGACAAGAGACCTCTAGTAAGATCATAACCTGGAGATCCTCCTTTTTCAGTAAATTTTATTTTCAGATGGGGACATTTTTACAGGATATACTTTTAGCTTCTGCATTGTTGTCAATGAAATTGGGAAGCAAACAAATCCAATTAATTTGGTTAGCTAATGATGCAATACATAAATCCTACCCATTTTGAAACATCAAGCGTGCATTAATAAAGTCCCTAAATATTACACCAAAACTTTGAAGTTGTGGTGAGGGATGAGACTATTTTTATACCTTAACATGCTCCCACAGGTTGGCACCCTTTTTATGAGCCGAAACCTCAACTTGCGTAGTGTTAAAATCCACTTTAAATTCGCGGCCAATGTGATTTGAACTTGGGTTGCTCGAATACCATCTTAAAATCCCCACCATTACAACAAAACTCTGAAGTTGTGGTGAGGGTTGAGGGTTATGCTTATAGTTTTATGTACTAACAAATACCATGCTACAAAATTCTCAATATAAAGACAGTAATTTTGGCATGCTGCTCTGCACAAGTTTCTTGCACGCTCATCCACACTATATCCTACGAAACCCATAAGAAACGCACAAATTAACCCAAGAAAGCAGGTCACAAGGAGCCAAAATGCACCTTCAAACCAAACAAGTATCCACTGTCATTTTGCCCTTAATTTCATAAACATAACACCAAAGAATCTGTGGCACTAGGCTTGCCTCAGAGAGGAGCTACTTCAATAAGCCTTCAAATATGAGTTTCATTCTTGTTTTTTCCATGCTAACTAGTCCTGATGCAAACGATGCCCATATGACTAGGGTAATGATTTCGGTCAGGTGTAAAGATTCGTCGAATCGACCCAAATTGACTCGATAAGACTAAACCCTTTATTGAGTCACGATCCTAGCCAAATTTAACTATAAACTTGCCTAACAAGATTAATCCTTCATTGAGCCACGATACTAGCCATATTTTAACTATAAACTTGCCTAAATAATATTTTCGACGGGAGACTGAAGTCATATCTGACTGTCTTTTCCAAATCGAACCTACCTTTAATGGACGCTAGAGTCTACTAGCAAAATTTTTGCCTGGGGAACTCTCTGTTTCTGATTCATCTATAACTTTCGAGTAGTTTGATATTGTTAGAGGTCTATCATGATTAACAAGTTGAGTTCTTATCATGAAAAGAGGTTCTACGCTATTTAAACCGGGGGAAGGTAGTGCGGGAGATGGAATTGCTTGGTTTCTCTATATAAGGCCTTCTGTTGTTGTAAATGAAGGTTAAAAGAATAAGAGTTACACAGTTTGGTTAGTTGGTTGGGGTTAAAGGTGCAGGCTTTCTTGGTAAGAAAAAGTAAAATCCAACAGAGGATCAAGTATCTTACGTGCAGCATCCACACCAGATCTCATCAAGCCGATAAGAAAAGCGGCCGAAAGTACCGAAGAAAGCAGCTGACAGTGGAGTTACAAGGAGCCGACATGCATCAATAAACCAAACAAACACACTGTCCTTTTCCCCTCGATTTCGTCAACAGGGCACCAAGAACCTCCCACTATAAACACGGAAGCAAGATTTGGTTTCTTCATGGAGATTTGGTTTGTTCATGGAGAGGGAGATGACCATGGCCATGACACCAAGGGTAACCTTAGAGAGAACCTACATCAATAAGCCTTCAAATATAAGCTCAATTCTTGTCTCTACGGCCGGACGGGCATCAAGACTGCTC